TGACACATTGCACTTCCTCATCTGTTATCTCGCCAAGGCCCTGGCACGCTCTCTACAAGGAAGGTCAAGGGTCTTACACATGAGACAGTTTCCCCAAAGCTAAACCTATAGCAAGTGACACTAAGGAGAGAGCCACTGAGTTCAGCTCTCCAGAATTTCACCAGGTTAAACAAGTCTAAAATCTCTCACAACGAAACAAGGCAGACTCCACCTTCCAGGACTGATTATTTCTAAGAAATTGGGGTTGATCCTGGGAGGGAAAGAAGTCTGGGACAGAAGGGCTTGTCCTGGTAGGGGGTCCTCGCCCTGTGTCCCTAGCTGAGAGGACACCTGGAACTGCCCAGCCATGGTGGGGAGGACAGCAAGCCAGCTCTGGGAGGCCAGAGAAAGGCCACAGGCCCCCAGAAGTAGAGACACCTGTGGGAGAGGTGGTGGGAGTGACTGGGACCGACAGCTCCGAGTGTGTTAGAACTTGCCCCTGAACTTGTGGAGCAGACAGGGAGAGGAGGGAGGCACATTTACAAGCCAGTCTTGGACATCACATGGGGGACTTCACGCTGTAACACCCTCTCTATAGCAGGATATTTCCCTATGCAGACAGGGACTTTACGGTATGAGAGCATTGGAGGCAGTAGATGGTGTAGTGGTTAAGGCAGCAGGATCCCACATGGCTGAGTGAACCATTAGAGCCCAGGCCCAGTATCTCGAAAACCATACCAGGTGGGGGCCAGCAGATGGTATAAAGGTTTAGGCACTGGACTGCCACATGGCCAAATATGGTTTGAGTCCTGGATCCAGCTGCTAGACACTCCATGCACTGTGCATGTGTACCCAAAATTTCAGGAGGACGATGGAGGAGAAGGGATTGTAGCATGGCTATCCCCCTGGAAGGTCATTTCTCACTTTCACTTTCACTGTCTCTCTCTGTCTCTCCAGTGAACTCACCTGTCCTATGGCAGAAACCTAAAAAATAATAGAAAAGAAAAATGAAAACATGTGAGGCATATGTGCATACCCAAAACCCTGAGAGGAGAATGGAGGAGAAATGATTGTGGCATGACCATTGCTCTTGGGGGGCACTTTTTCAATTTTATGCTCTCTCACTGTCTCCAGTAAGCACACATGTCCTATAGTCAAAAGAGAAAGAGGGACCAGTAGATGGCATATGGCTACATCCCTGGACTCCCATGTAGTCAACCACAGTCCAAGTCCCAGACACAGTGACTTAAAACTCATGCCAAGTGTGTGTGCAGGCACGCCCAAAATCCTGAGAGAAGAATGGAGGGGAAGGGCTTATGGCATGGCCATAATCCTCTGGCTTTCTGTCTCTCTATCTCTGTCTCTCCAGCAAGCACACACACTCTATAGCAAAAATCTCACCAACAAAAAAAGAGAGTTGGTTAATGTGCTTTCTGAGAAGTGTTGCAGAGCAGATTTCCCCTACAGATATGGAAACTTTGAGAGCTGGATTTGAAGATTCTTGGGTGAGTGAGGCTGACACTGGATGGAGATGAGTGAGGAGAGGGGGGGCAGGATGGACTAGACACACGTGGGTTTCTAAATTGTGGTAAACAGATGAGCAATCCCCCTCTTCCTCACCAAACAGTCCATGTGTTAACTCTCAAAATATACAAATGTGTTAGGTTACATGGCAAAGGGGAATTAAGATAGCTGATAGAATTGAGGTTGCTAAGCACTGACTTTAAAATTCTTCTGAATATGGGTCAGCAGGTGGTGTGGTGGTTAACGGGCTGGATCATACATGGTTGACAGCACGGTTCAAGTCTCAGACCTGGCAGCTGGAAAAACACACAGGGCACATGTTCATGCATGACCATATTCCGAGAGGAGATTAAAGAAGAAACAATTGTAGTGTAGCCAACCCCCATGAGGGTGATTTCTCACTTTCCTTCTCTCTATCTCTCCTGAGGACACATGTCCTGTGGCAAAAATCTAAAAACAAACAAACAAACAAAAACTTGTTTTAATTAAATCTAGATTGTCTATATGGGAACAATGTAATCAATCACAAGGGTCCTTAAAAGTAAAAGAAGGAAGAGGACCAGCAGTTAGCGTAATGGCTGGCGCTGAACTCCTGTGTCCTTCGGTTCAAGTCCCAGACCTGGTGGCTTAAATTCATCTGTGTGTGTGTGTGTGTGTGTATATGTGTGTGTGTGTGTATATGTGTGTGTGTGTGTGTATGTGTGTGCATGCCCAAGATCTTGAGAGGAGAATGGAGAAGGCATTGCAGCTTGGCTATCAACCCTGGGGGGTGATTTCTTGCTTTCTGTCTCTCTGTCTGTCTGGCAAGCACACATGCCCTAGAGCAAAAACCTCTCCAAAAAAAAAGTAAAAGAAGGAAGGAAGAGGGCAGTTAGAGAGATGCAATGTGAGCACTCAACCCCATGTTGGTGCCTTTGAAGATGGAGGGCAGGGCTCTGAGAATGCAGGCAGCCCTAGCAGTGGGAAAGGCAAGGAAATGCCTTCTCCCTTGGAGTGCTCAAGAAGGAACACGCCTTGCCCACCCTTGGAGTGTAGCCCAGGGAAATATGCATCTGACCTCTGTCCTACACCACAATGAAATCAGAAATTTATTATGTCTTAGGCTAATTTGTGGTGATTTGTTACAGCACCAACAGAAAACTAATGCATAAATTATATGACTCTGGTTCCACAAGGAACAATTCATGTGACTGTAAAAATTTTCTCTTCTGCCAATTTCCCTTTACTCTCCCCAAACACTGAAGTTGCTTTTCTCCCCAGTGCAAATCTCAGCTCCTCTATCTGAATATAATAGCCCTGTTTACAGGGAAGAAAATGGAGAATGAAGGCTGGTGTCTGAATGGAAGCCTGAAAATGGGACCTATGTGACACTTCTAGGGACCAAGGACAACGAGCCCTAAAACTGGGGAGAGAGCGTGTCACTTACCACAGACAGTGAGGAAGAAATCCTGGTCACATTTTCTTCCTCCACTTAGGGTGACCTGAGCCCAGTACCGCCCACTGTCCTCAGAGATCAGGTTCTCGATCCTCAGGGATGTCACGCTGGGCACCTGGACCCTCTGCCCGTACTTGTCCCGAAGGCCGAGCCAGGTTGGAGCGTCTGCCCCCCGATGGACTCGCAGCATTTCCCTGTAGCCTGATGGAATGCCAAAGGACCATGTGATCTCCTCCAGCTCTGCTCCTAGATCTTCTCCTGGATTCTTCTCCACATGGAACAAGGCGGAACCTCCTCGGATCCTCTTCTGAGAAGACTGGGCTCTAGAATCGTTCATTCCAGAGCTCCTGGCCTCAGCGCTGCGAGCACCTAGAATATTGGGAACAGGAGACATAGGTGTTTTCTCCATGACGATAAGAGGAGCATATGACTTTTATTTTAAAATCAGAGCCATGTAATATAATCTCGTGATTAGGAAAGCAGCCTACTACAACAAATTTGAAGCAAGTTTGGGATCAAGTCCTGGTTCTAGAGAAATGCAATCGTGAATAGATTACTTAAAACAGTTTATCTTCATACTAGTTTCTTCACTAGATGAATTAATGAGATTGTGGATTAGGGCCAGATGGTGGCGCAGCCATAACACAACTAGACCCACATGGGGAAGGTGCTGGGCTCTCCCCAGGGCCTTCCGGAACATGCTAGTCACATGCACATGGGCGTGACTCAGACAAACCGAGACAGGGTAGACAGCAACGTAAGAACCCGGTTGGGGATGCACTTTTCACTTTCTCTCTCAGAAGAAATTTAAAATTTTGATCCAGCCAAATGGAATCGTGGGTAAAGCAGCTGGATCCTACACAGCCAAT